TGAAGTCTGGAATGCAGGGAGAAGTGTGCACTCCTAAGTTTGTGGTTAATCCCCATTTGGCCCTAGCCACAGATGGCTGGGGATGAGTCTGGAAAGGGAGCTCCCTCCTCCTGAGAATTCTTAAGGGAGAAGAAGAGACTCCCCATCCTGAAAAGAAAGCTCATCTTTTTATCTATGAAGATGGCGCCGAAAACGAAGAAGGAATTCCCTGCCCCTCCCAAAACTGAAGCCAAAGAAAAGGCATTCAAAGCCAAGAATGCAGTCCTGAAGGGCATCCACAGGCAAAAAAAAAAAAAAGGAAGATCCAAACGTCACCTACCTTCCAGTGGCCTAAGACGCTGAGACTCCAAAGGCAGCCCAGATACCCCCGGAAGAGCGCCCCTACGAGAAACAAGCTTGACCGCTATGCCATCAAGTTTCCCCTGACCACTGAATCAGCCATGAAGAAGATAAGACGGTAACAACACATTTGTGTTCACTGTGGATGTCAAGGCAAACAAGCACCAAATTAAACAAGCTGTAAAGAAGCTCTATGACGTTGACGTGGCTAAGGTCAACATTTTGATTAGGCCTGATGGAGAGAAGGCGGCCAATGTTCGACTTGCTCCTGACTGATACTTTGGATATTGCCAACAAAATTGGGATCATCTAAAACTGAGTCCAGCTGACTAATTCTAAATACAAATTTTTCTCACCTAAAAAAAAAGAGAGAGAGAGAGAAAGCTCTTATCTGTAAGGGGTGAGGGCAACACTGCAACCTTTTTTCTACATTGACACCTACGTGTGGGGGGTGATGGCATGTCTGAATACACAACCATCTCCCCCCACCTCCCAAGAACTGTAAAAAGCTGACATCAGCTTTGACCTTGTAATTTCCAGCTGTGTTTTTCTGCTGCTAGTTTAAACCCACCAGTGAGAAAGTCTTTATCTGTTTCCCTTTAAAAATCCAAAACAGCGCTCAGGGAGCTTCAGCCATTTTAGGCACCTGTCCCTGCTGAAATTCTCACTGCCTTATCAATTAAAAGCCTTTCCTATACACCAAGGTGTTTTGGTGATAGTCCTTCTCCCCACTGGGTCTCATCTTCCTATGGCAAGCTGACGAGATCCAACCAGAGGAAGAGATGGATCCATGCTGTGAGCTAGTGCTGATTGTTGGAACCTCGTGGCTTGCTCAGAAGTAGACTATGCTTGTGGATGCAGATGCTCAAAGTTGTCAAACTGAACACAAGATTCTTCAACAAGAGTGACTACGCTTGTTCCCTCAGATTACTGGCTTGTTGGGGATGGGCAAATCAGAAATTGGCAATCTAAAATGGGGATACTAAGGCATCAAGAATGAAGAAGCTGGCTTACATGCTTTCACCAATATAGTTATTGGTAAATTAGTAAGGAGGGAAATCCACAATACCGTAAGTGAAATACAATGTAAATGAAAGACTGTCTACAAAACACAATTCCACATGAAACATAATGTATATGAATGACATGTGCAAAGCAATAAAAACAGGTAATAAAAACAATTGCCAAGAAAAAGTATAATGCACATAAAACAATCTCTTTAAGAAATGAAATTTTACAGGAAAAAATCTTTTACTCTCTTTCAGCTCAGGTTTCCCAAGCTTTATTGCACAGAGTATACTTTCTTCTAGTGAACATCCAAAAGCACCAGTGTGCTTTGTGCAGCTTGTGAAATGCTGAGGAGAGGGAGGGCTTTGGAGTCAGAGCAAAATAGCCTATGTGGGGACTTTAACATAAGAGGAAGTTCTCTACCCTCTGCACTTGAGAGAAAAATCTTAATAGACTTCAAGTAGTACTTTAACTCCTTCCCAATCATTACAGATTAACTTTCTTTCAACACATTTCAGAGTTTGTTCTTTTCCTTGTTGCACTCTTTAACGTGGACATATTCTTATGAGTGAGGTATCATTAAGTCTCCACTTAAGATCAGAGGACTCAAACTTATTTTATGCCTAGTAAGAAAAGAGTAAGTCTTTAAGCAAATATTTTCAATTATACCACTGACATTATTTCAAAGAGGCAGTCACATATCAGGAGGTGAGGTGTGACTCTGTGGGATCTGAATTTCACTTGCAAATGGGCAAGCCACTGAACTATGAAAGAAGGTAAAAAGAAAGAAAGTACTATGTGTTAGATAAAACATGGAAAGGGTGTTAAGGACTCCAACTGCACAGAAGTCAAGCCAGTCTTGGAGGGATATCTCACTGCCTTCCAGATCTGCTAATAAAACCACAGTGATTTTTCACCTCTGTTTCTGTGTATTCACCTGAAGCAGGAACTGGTAGGAAGGATTCTGCCCAGTAACATACCTGTACACCCTCATTTGTGCACAAAGACTAAAGCTCCTACCTCCATTGTTGTGAGAATGAAATGAGACAATATATGGCACCAGTTCTCAATAAATGTTCCCTATCACTGCTGAACAAATAATGTGACCGAGAAAACAGTGAAAGTGTTTGCTGTGAAACAACACCATGGCCTTAATTTGAGTACCCTTTTCACAACAAAGCAGAGCCCTAAAACAGGAAGATTAAGCTGGCAGCAACGTACTGAAGGAGGAAATAAATTATGGCTTTTGTACATCAGGTCTGATTAGAGGGGAAAACCCCCAAACTACCATATTTTTACACAAGTAATACATACCTTTTACTTTGTCAACTATACTTTTGACAAACTGTTAACATCAATTTTTTTTTAATATGTCACTGTTAAAACTCAGTGCAGGATACTTGCAAAATCAACTAGGGGAAGGGACACGGCTGGCAAGCAAACATAGCAGGCACAGATTATCTGTGTAAAAACATGCACATGTTAAAATGAGTCAACTGGAAGCCTTTGGGAAGCATGCAAATTTAAGGAAAAAGGGAGAAAAAAACAGTGGAACAAAAATAAATTTTTGATTGAGGATCATGAAATTGAGGGGAGGGAAAGATAAGAAAAATAAATCTTTAAAGAATCAAAACAGAATAAATAACTATTATCAAGCTGGTTATGATTCACACTGGCCCACCACAAGGTGTCTAAGGCCGTAGATCTTAATTGGGGGGCGACCACCCTTCTTTCTCCTGGGATGTACTAGTAGATCCAAAACACTGGAGATTCTAGCACTTCTTCTTGGTCAGTAAAACATGCTGATAGACTACGCCACTAGAGAGTCTCTAAGAGTCAGAAATATTGATTATATATTAGCTTGGTTTTGAATAAAATGAAGTTTAAAGATTATTTTCTGATAAAATGGATGAGTTATGAAAACAAAAAGTATTTTTCTGATGATCTTCAGGAAAGTGCTGAACCAATCTCTTCAGTCTCTTAAAAAAGGTTTTTTCTAGTCAAAGAAAAATGGAGGGCTTCTACCATACTTGCTCTCAAAGGTGGAAGATGTAACTTTCTAAATCTCCTTACTTTTTACCTTGGAAAAAAAAAGAAATTTGGAAATAACCAAACTGACCAAAACAATTTCAAGTTATTTCTGCTTCAGAGTTTGCAATTTGTCCTATCTAAACAGATGATACAGAAATGTGTTTGCCACAAAACAATAAGAGACTTATTTTGACAATTTTTTCCACAACAAAATGTGAGTTGTTGTTATTGGGCACCGTCAGGTCAGTTCCAACCTCATAGTGACCTTTAGTACAACAGAAAACTCTGCCATCCTCACAACTATACATAACATTAAAAAAATAGGAATATTAACTGTAGACCCAAGTAAAATTAAGTACTTGAATCTTATTTTTTTTTCTTCCATTCTTGCATTGCACAAATCTGAGCATACTGTTTCTTCTTACTGTATAAGGATAAACTGCTACTTTGGTCAGGTCTAAGTGAATAACTCAAGAGGCCATTTTTTTAGTTCATTTTCTCCAATAAATGTAGCAATATTAGTGCATGTGAGATCTGATGTTTATTGCAACAAGTTACAAGTGGATATAAGTAATTAGTTTTACAATTAGTCCAAAGCAAGATAATTTACTGACATTTCCAAGAGGGAGGGGGAATCCTCAACAAAACGAGGAAGAAGAAATAATTAACAAGATAGTATTTAGACCAAGGCACAGCATTCCACAACCTGCTTCATATTCTGTGCCCTTTAAATCCTCAGTGAGAGTTATGCAAAATAAGGCTTACATTAGAAACTACATTGTAATGCTATTAATAATATTCCATCTTTTAACAAAAGCTCTACAAAATCCTTCTGCTGTAAAAAGTGCAACATAAAACTTGTATAACAAATGAAAACAAAAATAGCATTAAAGACCCAACCACCGCTCCGAAACCTCTCACAGGAGTATACATACATACATACATAGTACAAATGAGTTTGAAACTCAGCAAAAGGAGTATTTGATTGTTTCATGAGCTTTCAAGTCAAAGATTTTATTTTGTAGAACACTTCACTCAAAGCTTCAGAGCTGGAGCAAAAAGAGACTCAAAAGCTATAACTAAGTTGATAAAATGCTTATTTTTTTTTAGTAGATCACAATTCTCATTGGGAGGAAGTGCTTTATCTTTAAACTAATTATTCCTTTTTATTAGATAGTTCATGCTTTTATACTGCAGTTGTCTCAAACTTGCTTGACTGAATTTTGTAATGTGGATAATGTACTGTCAGAATTTAATCCCAGTGGAGAGGTAATCTGAGCTGGTTTTTAAAAATAAATGCTGTCAAGCTGCCTGACAGTCTTTATACATGAACCTTTTAAAATTCTGTGGATCATGTATTATCCCAATTCAAATAAAGTCATATCAGAGGAGCTGTTTCTAAATTAAGCTTTCAAACTAGTCCTTTAGGCATTTAAAAAATCTTCATATAAAAAATTCACTCTTCTTTAATCACAAGAACGAACTTTTTTCCCCTTTAAGAAAAATCTCATATTTAAAGCCAAAATGAATTACACCCTGCTGAAATGCCTTTTCATGGTTCTGTGCGTCTTTCAAATACACGGAGCTCTATTTTCCACACTTTTTCAGAAATAAGATATATTAAAGTAGTTAATTGTAAAATAACATGATGATACAACCGTGGCTCAGGGAACAGCTCAAGCTTTAAGTTTTCAGGAATAAAAAATTGCTACTCCATCTACATCCAATATATACATATATAGTTCTATATTATGTACATATTAACAATCTATTCATGAAAAAAAGACAAATTTCATAAAATTATTTCAAAACTCAAAGCAAAAAAAAACTGTAGAGAAAGGAAACAATATACAATCTATTCCATTTGGCAATGTGTAAATTATATTTAAAGATAAAAACTTATCTACAAATAGAATACTACAAAAAGAAAATGTGATATAAGAAGTTATCTCAGGACCATAGCTCCTCAGTTCTTCCAAATTTGTATATCAGAGTGCTAGAAAAAGAAAGATGAAAACATCATGAGAAAAATAAATATGAAACAAGGCAACACAGAACTTATTCTCTAAATATACTTTGATACCAATACCTTTGTATCAATTTCTAAAATGAAAGATTATGTGGTTGTTGATCTGAATTCACATATTTTGTAAAGCAGTGTGTCTGAGCTTAGTGAAGTACTCTTCCTTAAAGCCTGGGAAGGTATTACATAGCAAATCCAGAAAGAAAATGGCATTTCCACAGGAGTAAAGGGCATCAGGGTCATTTTCCATCTCTAGGTTCCATCATATCTGACATACAATAACAGAAACATCCTAAACAGAACAGGTCGCAATTACGTTTAAGTAATTTAAATTTATTTGCACAAATAGATAACAGATCAGGAATTTGAACCCCAACAAGCTGTAAATTCAGTGCTTTTTCTTCTCAGTATCAAGAGATCCACCTCTCCACCTACTTAGCTACTCACTGAGCTTAGCCTTCAGCAGAACAGCACAGGAGGCAAAAACAATTTTCCCCCAAATAATTATTTTTAATTATTTGAGTAAAGGTTTGCAACTCATAGTGATTTTTTATACAAGACAACTTTTTATACCAGTTTAGTTTATCATTAAAAACGTCAATCACACAAAACACTGAAAAAATTCTTCATATACCTTTCTTAAATAGTCAGATCAGATCACACTGCAAATTCTCTGTTCATTTAACAAATAATTACTGTATACTAAATACTGACTATGCACCAGACACATGGCTAAGGACTGGGACTGACACTGTGAGTCAAACAGTCCTATCTGTCCATTAATGGAAGCTAAAAATCTAATGAGGACGGTAATTCAACATATAATTCCAGGTGCAAAATTAATGCTATAAAGGAAAGGTTATAGGGACCATGCAGTTGAAATACAAAGACATCATTTAGAAATGTCAAGATTATTTTACTGATGTATCAGCGATTCTAAGAGTGAGAGTTACCTCAGCAAAGCAGGGGGTGAGGGTGGGAAGACCAGATACATTGGGTTCATGAGGTGAGCTAGAAACATGTTGAGTGTACTGAATTTAACATGCTTACCATCTAGGGAGCTAGATATGGCTTAGCCCTGGAGATAAGACTGTGTGACTAAAAGTCACACAGACAATAACTGAAGTTCTAAGCATAAATAAAAACAGCTCACTAAGATAAACAACCATGAGAAAAGGGGGTGGTCTAGAACTAAGCCTTAAGAAACTTTAAAAGTTAGAAGTCAATGATGGAAGATAAATGGACAAAGAAACAGAGGAAAAGAGGCCACACCACAGTGTAGGGCACCCAAGTACTTAGAAAAGGTCCAGGAAAAAAGAAACCCACAAATTGGCCTAATTACCTGTCAGCCTTTGATGTTAGCTCCCTTTTTTTTAAAAAAAAAAAAGTACCTGATTATTTTTTTTTTTTAAGTACAGACTATAGAAGCTGCAGTTTGGGTTCAACTGTCAGTTCTGCATTCACTAGCTGGTGATCTCTAAGTAAGTTTGGAGCCTTATTTTTCTCAACTATAGAATGAGAATAGTAATTGATAAATGTATTTAAGATCATTACATGTAAATGAAAAGATAACATATAGAAAGCAGACAGTTGAGGCCCTCACATGTAACAAGACTCCTATTTAGCAGGCTCATGAGTGGCTATCTATAATAGCAAGATTTTTATCTTTTGGAAAAAAAGTTCTATCCATTCTAATCAATTCTTGAGATTTTTAAAAGTGTTCTGTGTATATATTGTTCTCACAATAAAGATAAGACAATTGTAAATGTGGCTTTGGTTTTGGCTTTTAACCACACAGCTGGGGGGAGGATCCTGTCAAGGGATTTGGACAGCTTGCTATTAATTTAAATAAGATAAAATGGGTGTTTGAGCTGAAGGCTGAATCGGCCCTGGTGGGGCTGTGTCTGAGTAAAAACTGCTATCATGCCCCCTGTCACACAGAGGCTGAGAGATCATGACATAAACCTTGTCTGTCAGAATATGAAGCGTCTACCAGATGTATGGATGAAAATAACAATCACAAGAAAATGTGTTCCACTCAGTTCTTTTTTAAGACAGAACTGAGTGAAGCAACCTATACCCACAGAAGCAGAAAGTGAAAAATATCTTGGGAGCAATGGGGGAAATGAAATATTGAATGTTTATACTAAAATTATTTATATGATTGGGTATTATGGTCATGACAAGAGTCCAGAATGAGGGCTGCATAGTGGAGTGTACTGGGGGGGGTAGATTGTATACCAATGGGGTAGGCAGGGAGAAAAATATAACAATGAATGAATAGAAATCTAAAATCTCCGTAAACGTTCATAAAAATTAATTTTTTTAAAAAAAGATAAATGGCAATTTTTGAGTGGAAACATGCAAATAAGGTGGGTAGATTACTAACAAGGGCACTGGTCAGTTTTATCACCCACCAGGCTTAAATTCAGAAGCAGAAAAGGGGAATCTCACCACCATCAAGAAAATGAAGCAGGGAATATAGCATATCCTTTGAGGCCAGAATTTTCTGTTAAGACAGATCAAGACTGAAACACTACAGAAGCAGAAGAGAAGGAAGAGAATCAGAGACTCATGTAAGAGACAGCTGAACCAGACCTGCCATTCCATGAGCCAGAGCTAAAAGCTTTCACCTTGTCTTACTGATAGGGCATATGCGCGTGCGTGTGTGCGCGCGCGCGCACACACACACACACACACACAAAATTAGCAAAACTTAAAAGGCTTTGTGGCACTGTTTTAAAGCCTTAAACCTGACATAAGATGGAGATCTGCCTAGAAGGATGTCTGAGAAGCAGCTGTCTTGACCGAAGGATTGTATTTTGAGTCTTTCCAACCTGAATGGTAATTTACTTCCCTAATAAAATCCATAATGTGGAGTAAGATCATTTTAACATATAAGCAAACCTACCAAGGGAGTATAGAGAGTCATGGGGGAACAACTGTGGCTGGAAATGGCAGAAAAAGGTATGGGAGTTTGAGGAGCAGGTCTGACATAGGCATTGGTTCTGTAACATTGATGAAGATTCTTCCCCTCTGTAGAGTTAGTGGACTTCAGATGTCATTGTGTAAACACCAGACACACAGTTTTTACAGCACATCTATAAGTGGTATAGGTATGCTTGATAAATTAGTCAACTTACCTAAAAAATATAAGTGCATTCTGAAAAAACACAGCTAGTCCTGGATAAACATCCGTATCTGTATACGCATAAAATTTAAAATAGATTAGATTATTATAGGCAAATGACAATAACGAAGTATTTGAGCCATTCAAAATTATGTACTTTATATATTACAAAGGAAAATTTGTTGTTAAAGTGCTTAGCTGCTAGCCAAAAGGTCAGTGGTCAAATCCACTAGCTATTCCATAGGAGAAGATCTGGCTGTCTGCTTCCAGAAACTGGCCTATGTTTACTGCTGTGTTCAAAACAGCAAAGAGATGGAAGCAACCCAATGTTTATCAACAAAATGGATAGAGAGTCTGTGGTATATACACACAATGGAATACTATACAAAATGGTGACTGTGGAGGACATTATACTGAGTGAAATATCTCAGTCACAAAAGGACAAATACTACATAATGCCACTGTTGTAAAACAGAACTGACATGGGGATTGGGGGAAACTAAGAAGGATAAATAATGTACACTGCATTGAAACAGATGAAGGAAAGAACTGTTTAAAAGGAATATATGATTATGGATTATTTGCATGACAACAGTCCAGAACAAGAGTTGCATAGCAAAGTGGACTGGGGGCAGGGTGGGGAGGAAATTGTGCAACAATGAAAGATTTTTTTTTTCAAAGAGAAAAGCGAACTGGGGGAATGGGTAAGGAGGAAAATGTGCAACAGTAATTCATTCTCACACTGTGGGGTCGTACTGTTATAATGCACACATAACAGATGATCAAGGTGAAAGAAATGTATACACGAAAGAAACAATGAACCTGTCAAGGCTGTTGCTTTTTACCCAGAAGGCAACTATTTTTCCTAAGATCATACATTTACTCAGTGATAAAGATTCAAACTTAGGGGTCTGGGTTCAAAGCTGGAGATATTAATCATGTTGCCATACTGTTTGCTATATTATCAAAAGCTAAGTTAAACGAGTTTCTTTATCCTACCCAGTATATTTAAATCAGTATTTGTAGTTTTATAAAAGGTAATTATTCACGGAAATTTAAACCATTTCCAGTTTTCTCTTTTCTTATGAAGATTCTTAACCACTGGCACCAGGATGGATTGAGTGAAAAGTATATATGATGAACTGTAATAATAGACCCATTGTTGTTATGTGCCACTGAGTAGCTTGCAATTCATAGCAACCTATTGTAGTTACTTTAAATAACAAAAAACCTGGTAAGTTCATTGTTTCTTATCTATAGGAAAAGTACCTGTAATTTTAAAAAAATAGTTTGCAATCCAAATTAATAACTCAGTTTACTTGTTATTCTTGAAACCATTATCAAATTAAAAAAAATTATGGGATAGATTTTTGAGCCTGGGAAAAAATTAATTTAGAAAGTATATTTTAGGGACTGTGAGCCAGTGGACAATAGCCTTTATTTTTCCTCAGATATTTGTACATTTGTGGTTTTGAGAGAATGACTGTAAGATTTTCTTACTTTGAATTAATTGTAGATTTTTAACAGCTAATGAATAAAACTATAGTTACTAGTAATTATAATAGTCTTTTTAGTACTATTTATTTATAGTACTATAGTTACTATTTTATAGCCCCAAACTCAACAGACTACATTAATTCTACCTTTTGTAACAGTTATCACTCTACAATGTGAGAATGAAGTGACTATGTATAGTATTTAGAATAGTAACTAGCCCATAAACGTTACATAAGAATAGCTGCTATTAATAGTAATATAATAGTAATATGGATCATAATAACTTAAGGATAACATTGAGAATTCTGGAATACATATGTTGCCAAACTGTTTGCTATAATATCAAAACTGTGCTCATGTGGAACCTGCACATGAATCAGGCAGCAGTCATTCAAACAGAACCAGGAGATACTGCATGGTTTAAAATGTATAAAGGTGTGTGTCAAGGCTGTACCTTTTCACCACGCCTATTCAATCTGTATCCTGAGCAAATAATGAGAAGCTGAACTATATAAAGAAGAATGTGGCAACAAAAATGAAGAATGTGGCACTAAAAACCTGCATTATGAAGATATCACCACCTTGCATAGCTTTCAGTATGGATTATATCTTTTTATATATTTATATAAATATAAAAATAAAAATAAAATTCTCCCCATTGGACCAAAAATAAATAAATACAAGTTTGAAGTTGTCAAGGCTTTAATTTTCCTTGAATCCACAATTAACACCCATGGAAAGAGCAGTCAAGAAATCAAAAGTTAGGTCACACAGGGCAAAATCTATTGTCAAGGACTCTTTAATGTGCTAAAGCATCAGGGGCACCTGACTCAAGGCATGGTATTTTCAATTGTTTCATATGCTTATGATATTTAGACAATGAAAAAGAAAAACCAAAGAAGAAATGCCTTTAAACTGTGGTCCTATTAAAGAATATTGATTATGACTGCCAAAAGAATAAACAAAGGTATTCTTAGAGAGGATGGTGAGACTTCATGTCACACACTTTGGGCATGTTATTGGGGTGGGGGTGCTGTCTTTGGAAATGATGTCCTGCTTGGAAACGCAGAGCATCAGTAAGGAGACAAAGGCCACCAATGAGATGGAATGACACAGTTAATGCAACACTGGGCTTAAACACGGAGCAGAGGATTGAATGGTTTTGATAGAGTCACAATGAGTCAACTCAATAGCACCTACCAACAATTATTAACAGCCAAAACAATATGTAAAGGATTTGAAAATGTGTTCAAAATGCCCTCTGAAGTAAAAGCCCACTTGCTTTACCACAAAAATAAAGAGTAACACTGTAGAAATTAGATCCACAATGGAGAAACTGTTCAATATGATGTAGTTGCTTGAAAAATTAAAAAACAACCAATGAGGTCATAATGTTGGCAAACATTTTTCATTATGTTGTTGCTGTTATATGCTTTTGAGTCAATTGAGACTCACAGCAACCCTAGGTACAACAGCCCTGAATTCTGCTCTGTCCTGTGCCAAGCTTATTGTCTCTGATGCACTTATCCTCATTACCCCCGTTACTGAATTAATCCATCTGATCAAGGGTCCTCCTCTCTTGTGTTGTCTCTCCAACTTTCCAAGCATGATGTCCCTCTCCAAGGACTGGTTTCGCCTTGCAATATGCCCAAAGTATGTCATACAAAGCCTCAGAATCCTTGCCTTCAAGGAGCAGCCTGGTCTCACCCTCTCTAGGAAGAACCTGTTTGTTCTCCTAGCAGTCCATGGTATATTCAATACTCTTCTCCAGCGCCACAACTCAAAGGCTTTAGTTCTCTTTCTATCATCCCTAGTTCTAGTCCAGCTTTCTGACACATAGCAAGTAATTGCCTGGATCAGGTGCACCTTACTTTCCAGACTGACATCATAGCTCTTTAGTACTCTGGAGAAGCCTCTGAAAGCAGACTTTCCCAATGCAATTTGTCTCCTGATTTCCTGGTTGCTGGTACCAAGAGTGTTGATTGTGGAGGCAAGCAAACTAAAGTTGTTAACAATCTCTATCTCTTCACTATCTGTCATGATGCTGCCAATCAGCCCAGTGGTGAGAATCCTTGTTTTCTTGATGTTGAGCTTCAATCCATATTAGAAACTGAAATTTCATATGCTGCTTCAAGCAACTCATCAAATCATCTGAGAAAATAATTAATAACAATCCTCCTTTCACATAATCAGTGATCAAATGAGTTTAAAATGTACTTCCCTAAATAATTTTATTTCTATGAAACAGACAAATTTACATGGCCAGAAAGTACATCAGTGATTGCCTAGAGATGGGGAGTTGGAAGGAAATGGGAACAACTGCTAATAGGTATAGATAGGCTTTCTTTTTAGAAAGACAAAAATAGTTTAGAACTGGATTGCAATAAGGGTTGCACAATTCTGTAAATATACCAAAAGCTACTGAATTTTATACAGGTGAGCTATGTGGCATGTAAATTATATCTTAATAAAGCTATTTTTAAAAAGTACCTTCCTTCAGGTAAATGTCATACTAGAATTATACATTCAATTGATATTTTTAATAAGATAACAATTTCTGCTATATTTGCCCATATATTAATGAACTACTTTCCACGGAAGGCAGGCAGTTTGAACCTACCATCTGTTCCTCAGGAGAAAGATGCGTAATCACCTCTCACGAAATCTACTGCCTCTGAAAACCTGCTGGAGGGTCAGCTATGAATCAGTTTTGACTTGACAGCACACAAGAACAGTAACGACTGCCCTTGTCCTCGGATATATTTTGTGCCAAAGTGAAAGATAAATGGAAGTTGAAGGCATTCCATAAAGCTTCCACTGATTAACCTACGAAACGTAATTAAATCCTGTCAAAGGTACTCAAAGGTCAGCCACTACATGACAAGAAAGCTAAGCAAAGAAGGTTAACAAAGAGATGTCAGAGGAAAAGCTTCAGAGGACAAATAAACTACGTAATTTGAGACAGAACCCTTCCTGTATCTGGCCTAACAGAAGAGAGCCTAAAACGATGGCGTTCTGATGATTTCAAAGACATCTAGCTGAGGTGAGGCTCATTTCAACACCACTTGAGATAAAAAATGGTAGTGTCAGGCACAGCCAGGAAACTCAGGGTGGTGTTAATTCTGCTTCAGTTCTTTCTGTATCAAGACATACACTACAAATCTTTAAGCCTGCCTTAAAAAAATTCTTGTTCCTGTGTCTGAAAAATTACAGGCTGGGATTATGGGGGGGGTGGGAATTACAGTGAAAGCCTAGGTCAAAAGAAAGATATCCAGGTCCACAATACTTCTGCAAAAATCCATACAGCAGGGATTCAAAATTCAAAATTTTTTAGACTTATAAATGGTAACACAGAACATATATATTATAGAGCATATCGAGCTGACTCGAGGCCAGCATCTCATAAGTGTAGCAGTATTCCTGCAATAAAATATTTAAATACTTACAATAAATGGAATAAAGAATATAATTAGCCCTATGTAGTAGCTCAGGAAAGATTCTGGAACCAAAGCGGCTGTGAAAAACTTGGTTTTAAGAGCTGTATGGAATCTGGATTTATGACTATGGACTTGTACTGATTTCTCACTTTGACTACTCTAACCCCCAACAATACGAGTTTCTATTATAAGAGTGTGGCTGTCCAAAGAAAGGAAGGAAATTACCAATTCCAGAAAGGCAGATAGTGACACAATTTCACCAGTGGCTTGATTTCCAGCAGGTGTATCCGGCCCTAACCTACCTGGAAGCCAGTTGTTTTAATAAACAGATACATAACAGACAAACAAGCACCAAATGTTAATTCCGGAATAATTAACAGACTGGTCAACTACAAAAGACCTATTTGAATCTTTCCCACCAAATAACAGAGGAATCAGTACTTACTTTGGGTAACATATGCACCAAAAAGAATCCACATGGAAGCAATAAGTGACCCAAACATCAGCATGAAGCCAATGAAAAGCCAAACGCGAGCACCTGTGGAGAAAACAGACTCGATGACTGTTCTTGCTTTTTACACTTCTATTAACGTCCTAGAGGAGCTGTGGAGGCATAGTCTGTAGCATGCTGTCACTGCTAACCAAAGGCCAAGAGTCTCCAGGAGTCTGAATTCCCCAGCATCTTTTAGGTAGAAAGATGGGCTCTCTTGATAAAATTTAGTCTTGGAAATTTACAGAGGGATTTACCTGACAGTATTTTCAAGGCTGTAATCTTTACAAAGGCAGACTGCCACATCTTTCTCCTGTGTCCACTCAATGACAGTGAGTGAATAATAATGTCTTAAAAATACGTCACAACTAGAAACACTTAACCTAATATGTATTATGCATACCAAAGAGAAGCACATATTTATATGCATCTATTGGAACGGTTGATTGATGACCTTTAAAAACTGAAGTGGTTAAGTCATACTATGGAAAGGAAAACATTTCAAGTGGTAAAATAAATACTTGAGCAAGTAAGTCAGTAAATTTACTAGTAATTATTTTATTAAATCAATTAAACTCTTTTTATTATAATAAACCTAAAAAAAACATATTTGGAGGAGTAAAACTCTAAAAAAAGAAAATTTTCATATACTTGTATTTGAAAATTTCCTGTATCCAACTAGTTAAAGCCCCTATGGCTAAAAGCTAAAACTTAAGAATTCTAATATTCATGCTATTAATAATACCCACTGTTTTGAGTAGACTTTAACTGAGAGCAATTGAAAGGATGGGGCAGACGTGCCACATAGATTTCCAAGGCTATACTCTTTACAGAAGCTGACTGCCTAATCTTTCCTCCTGTGGAGCAGCTAATGAGTTTGAACCACCACCCTTGGATAAGCAGTCAAGCCTTTCATCACTGTTAGGGCAAACAATATGACTATGGAGGATCGTACGGGGGATTATTCAAGACAAACTTTACAACTGTTAGCATTGACTACACTGGTCATATCCATGAAACTTTAAAAAAAAAATCTGTGGTCAGGACTTAACCAATCATTAATAACAAAGATGTTACATTATCTAGGAAGTGAACCATTATTTATACCAGTTCTTTTAAAGGAAAGCATTACAGAATTTTTATTCTCTTTCTGTATTATTCACCACCAGGATGAATTCAGAGAACTAAGTATGCTTTATCAAAGAAACTGCTCAGTTAAAAGGAGGAAATATATTTTTTTCACAGAAGGTTCTTTGGTGGCCTAATGGTAATGAGTTGCAATGTCAACAAAAAAACAAGCAGTTCAAGTCCACCAGCTGCTCCTCAGGAGAATTATGGGCAATTTCCTCCTATGCAATTTATAGCCTCTGAAAACCCACTGGACAGTCTGCTAGGAATTGGTTCCTATTGATACATAACATCATCAACAACACACAGAAAAAAGAAACTTCAAATACATAAGTATAAACATTCCCGCTTCTAAACAACATTAAGCTTCTAAAAAATCACACAATTATGCAATATGGTACAAAAAACTATATTCTTCAGGAGCTAAATTCAGGCTCTTCTGGTTGAGGCAGCCAACCTGTAGAACATAACCAGAGTTATCTCTTCCACACTCTACTGTAAGGAATCATGGAAACTCAATACAGTAATCAACTGGACATATCAGCTAATTTAACATACTGTTAAATAAACTTAGGCTAACACTTGTGCTAGACTTGCTCACAGGTATACTCACAGTCCATCTTCCTGTAAGGGAACAGAGCTCCGGTAAGTGAAAACAAATGCAAGCAAACTTCCTTAGCAGAAAATTAAATGTGCCTCACTTGCAGTTGTTCTTTTATTGAGTCAACAGATTAACATATTTTAGACACTAGATATGTAGGAAGAAATGATCAAAGCTCAGCATGGTTAGAACAGCTGATACTTGAGAGGAGTCCTCTAGATAGCCTTAATTTTAATACAGTATCAAACAGATGTATGAAAATATGCAGTGATGTTTTTAGCTCCTTAGAGAAAGAAATCCTCTAAACTAATTCACCCACAGCTTTTATTCAAAAAGTTATCAAAATGCCTTGTAATTATTTTCTACCATGTCCTTAACACAAGGACACAGATATAAAATTTTCTAATACATATTATTAAGAAAAAAAATTTCTCTTGACAAATGATTATGCTTTGGTTTAGCAAAAAATAAATACTGTAACATTTTCCCTTTTTTCTGCTTTGGCAACTCAATGGCACATAACAACAACAAAAGGAAACTCAGAGCTAACAAATAAGAGCATCCATCTTACCCTTGATTCTAAATACAATAATCTTCTTTGCCTACTTCCTGATTCTGTTGCGGACCTAATGAAGACAAGAGAAAACATAAGATGCTGTGGTGGCCTAGTCTGTAGGGCTTTCTGCTGATAACCCAAGGACCAGGTGTCTCTGGTGGTCACAATCCACAGCCATTCCTCAGAATAAAGATGGGCAATATACCTCCGTGTAATTTACAACCACAGAAACCCAATGGAGAGTCAATTATGATTTGGAACCAGATAGCAGGAAGAACAGAAGAGTATAATGTTAAAAGGCACTGAGCTTTAGAGATACAGATTTAAGACAATCCCTAGTACCACTTTGAAGCCAAAAACTGAATTAAAAAAAACCAAACACTTCTATAAAAAATTGTAACAGCAGTACAATCCATAACAATGTCTAATAAATTATCTTCTCGTTATACAGAACATCTACACTTGCAAATACATGTTACTTCCTCATTCACTATCTTACTTACGGCACTGCCTGCTGAGACTAGGGCACATGCTACATAAAAAAACTGAACACATGTTTATTATGCAAGCACACACATGCACACATATACTGCGCATTTTTAATTTAGATTCACCTGTCAGACATCACCTCCCCCTATGCTTTCTAACTCCATACAGATCCCAAGAGAATGAGGTGATAAAACTTAAATCAGTCCTTAGAGAGTATCGGAAAGAAGGGGGGGGAGGGAGAGTTTAGGTAACTGTGTAACAGTAAATGAATTTTTTTAAATAAGTGAACTGGGGGAGGGGGGTGAGAGGGAGAGAGGGTAAAATGTGCAACAAGGAATGAATGAATGAAAATCTAACTTCTCTAAACTTTCATTAAAATAACAAAATAACATTTTATTTTAAAAAAGAAACACAAGCTAAGTTCTTTAAAGCTTCTTTAATGGGTTTAAAATGTTATGGTGGTTTCATCTACAGGAAACCCTAGGAAAGGCAAAATTATTATGATAGCACACAAAAAGTAGAAGGTAGATTTAAAAAGGATTAACTACAAAGGGGAACAAGGGAACTTTAAGGAGTTATAGAAATGTCCCATGTCAAGATTGTGGAAGTTTTCCCCACTATCCTGCTTCTTGTTGTATACCATCAAGTTGGAACCAACCAAAAAAAAAAAAAAAGTTGGAACCAACCTACAGCTAACCCTCCAGTGAATTTTCAGAGACAGTAAATCACACAAGAGTTGACTGTTCATCTTTCTCTCACGAAGCAGTTGGTGGATTCAAACCACTCACCTTTTGTGTTGGCAGTGTGATTCCTCACTACTAAACCACCCCTTGTGACTTTAGACTAGTTACTTAAGCACTCCATAACTTAGTTACTCTAAAATGTGACACTAAGAATCCTAATTTCATATGACTGACATGATGATTGCATGAACTAATAGATGTAAAGCACTCAGGACTAGGCACACACTATGCATTCTTTAACTATATATTTCTTACTCATCCATCAAAATTCTTCGACCCAAAATTATTTTTATTCTCTAAAGTAACCGCAAGTTACTTTCATCATTGCATGAAGGCTGGAAATACAAATTCCAGTCCTATGCCGTTTACTTAAGAGTACTAAAATTCCACAGGCAAATCATCCTTGACTTTTAAAAGAATGGTGACAATCTTAGTAAAAGAAAAATGTTAATGACTATTCTATCACAAGACAAACAACTCAATCACAAAATGGACACAGGATATGAACAGACACTTTACCAAAGAAGACATTCAAATGGCGAACAAACACATGAAGAAATGTTCAAAATCCCTAGCTCTAACTAAGAGATGAGAATCAAAACAACTATGAAATAACATCTCACCCAAGTAAGAATAGCAAAATTCAACAGAGCTGCAAACAACAAATGCTGACGAGGTTGTGGAGAAACTGAAATGTAAAATGGTGCAACCGCTGTGGAAGGTGGTGTGGTGCTTTCTCAAAAAGTTGCAAATGGAAATACTATTTGATCCAGCAATTCCACTACTGGGAATATACCCGAAAGAAAGAAAGGTACAGTTGTTCACTTGTTGTGTACCATTGTGTGAGAACTGACCCATAAAATGTAAAATGGTGCAACCACTCTGGAAGGCAGTATAGTGCTTTCTCAAAAAGTTGGAAATAGAAATACCATTTAACCCAGCAATTCCACTACTTGGAATATACCCCAAAGAGACCATAACTGCCACCCAAGAAGATATATGCACTCCCATGTTTATCACTGCTTTGTTCACAATAGCAAGGAGTTAGAAACAACTTAAGTGCCCAAGAACAAACGAACGGATAGAGACGCTGTGGTATATTCACACAATGGAATACTACAAAGCACTGAAAAACAAGGAACTCATAAAATATTATACAACATGAGTGAGTGACCCTGGAGGACACTATGCTGAGTAAAATATCTCAGTCACAAAAGGACAAATACTGCATAATGTTACTGTTATAAAACAGGACTGACATGGGGATTGGAGGGAAACTAAGAAAAAAAGGGATAAATAATATACACTGCCTTGAAACAGATGAGGGAAAGAACTGTTTAAAAGGAATATATGACTATGTATTATTTGCATGACAACAGTCCAGCATAAGAGCTGCATAATAGCAAAGTGAACTTGGGGTGGGGGAGGAAATTGTGCAACAATGAAAGAATTTTTTTCCCCCAAAGATAAAAGCAAATTGGGCGGGGTGAGGAAAATGGCAACAATAAATTAATGGAAATCCAAGTTCTCTATAAACTTTCGCTGAAATCTCAGTTAAAACAAAAAATGTTGATGATAATTCAAAAGCAAAAATAATTTGTATGCAGACAAACAACATGCTCCTTCTAGATGCTTTTGTGGCAGGCTCTAAGTGATTACTTAATTGATCAGAACTGAATGTTTAATACACCATGGTACTGGGTTTGATCTTGGGTGGGGAATTCATTGTGATCCATTATCTCTCAAATATTATTCAGAATTCAGAGTTCAGGATAAGAATAAACCCCTCAAGAACCCAGAAATGAACCCATTTATTATGTTCAACTGATATTCAAAAGGGAAACAAAGCCTATCAAGTGGGGAAATGATAACCTATTCAACAAATGTTGCTGGCAAAACTGGACTGCCAGCTGCAGAAAGCTGAATCAGGATCCACACCTTTCACCACAAACAAAAATCAACTCAAAGTAGATCAAAGACCTAGAGATAAAGCTCAAAACCATAAAGACCCTAAGAGACAAAGTGGGACCAAGCACAGAAGGCTTACCCTATGGTATCAAGAGGCTGACAAATTCAGCCAGAAATATACAACCAGAAGAGGATAAAATTGATGCATGAGATCTTCTAAAGATTAAATCCCTGTGTACATCAAAAACTTTTTCCAACAGGGAGAAAAGAAAACTGGCAAAAAAACATTTGGCAATACCATCTCAGACAGGGGTCTCATAAGTTTACAGAATACTACTGGGGTTCATAAGAAAAAGACTGATAACCCAATTACAAAATGGGCAAAAGACAGGGAAACACTTTTCACAGAGGAAGACATATATGGCCAACAGACACATAAAGAAATGCTCAAAATCACTGGCAATAAGAGACAAATCAAAACCACAAAGAGATATCATCTCACCCCAGGAATAGTGGCAAAGTTTAAAAAGACAGCAAACATTAAATGTTGGAGAGGATGTGGAGAGATAGGCACTTTCATACACTCTTGGTGGGATTGGAAAATGGTACAACCACTCTGGATGACAGTTTGGCACTTCCTCAAAAAGCTGAACACAGAAATTCCATATGATCCAGCTATTCCACTGCTAAAATATACATTGAGAAAACTGGAACTGAGACACAACAGACATCTGTGCACCAATGTTCATAGCAGCATTATTCACCATCACAAGAACATGGAACTAGCCCAAATATCCAACCATAATCAAATGGACTGAGAAACTGGTACATTCACATGATGGACTATGTAGCACTCAGGAGCAACATTTTCAAAAATTATGACATAACTTGGGAGGGGCTGGAGAGCAACATGCTGAATGAACTAAGTCTTATAAGGACAAATTCTACAGAAGCCCATTACTGTAGAAATAGAAAGTTAAATAGTAAAACGTGTATGAGGATCCATTAGGGGAAGGGTGGGAGCAGAGGGGTGAAGATGGGCACGGGGTATATCATAGGGTTACACAACTTGATGGATGGGGGGAAGGGAGGGTAAAGGAAATGGGAAAGATCCAGGGGAGATCTGGGAAGACAGGGTAATTAATAGCAGGCATAGTTCAGTGGTGATTAATTTTATAAAACATAATTAATAGGAATGATTGTACAAAATACAATGTGAATTAAGAATAGTGTGAAACACAATGTATATAACTTTGTAAGCAAACAAATATAAAATAAAAATTAAAAACTAAAAAAAGAATAAACCCCTCATTAGACACTGGAAAAATGTATAATCAAGATCCACTGAATCTGCCTCGTAACAGTTTATTTATTTAACACACAGGGCAGTGGTAGCTGAAGAGTAAAATCCTTGACTTCTATGTGGAAGGCCAGGATTGATTCCTGGGCAATGAACCTCATGTACAGACACCACCCACTCACCTGTGGGTGAAGGCTTGTGTGGAACTTCTAGACTAAACTAGACTAAGAAGAAAGGCCTGGCAATCTACTGATGATAAATCAGTCAATGAAAATCCTACAGATCACAACAGTCTGATGATTTTCCTGTGCATGAACAGCAATGAATTGGTTGGTAGCAGCTCATTAGCAGCAGCTAATTTAACATCTATATAATATGGACAATAAAACATCACAGAAACAGTAAATACTACCAGTAGTTCTCACTTTTTAGTAATAAAAGATTTAAATAATATTAAAACATTTTTTTTCTAGGTTAACACAAAAGTCTATGCAATTAATACTACCAAACTAGACTTACTACAGAGGATTTCTTCCCCCACTAATAAACCCTATTTTTCCCCCGCATATTTTAACACTTTAAAAGGCATTTACCTGTTCTTCCTAAACAGCCGCTTTCATAGCTGTCACCTCTCACCTGAGCATTTGACACAGCATTTATCCTAGAACAAAATAAAATCAACCAATAAGTTTTCATGATGTTAAAAATGTACAGATATTTTTATATCACTTAAAAGACAAAACCAGTTACTTCTTAATAAATTATCTGAATAAATGAAAATAATCTTTTAGCTTAATAGATATCCAACTAGATAAAATGTCACACTGGCCAATGACAAACATTTTTGTTGGGATTTACTGTCGAATCAGAAACAACTCACAGCTGACCCTCCAGCCTATTTCCAGAACAAGTAAATCACATGGCAGGAGACTGTCCATTTTTCTCCCATGGAGCAACTTATAGGTCCAAACAGCATTGCTCTGAGCTGAAAGTGCGACTTCCTTACCACTTAAGATACCAGAGCTCCAATGACCAACATTATTCTCAATAGAGAAAGACTTGAGAGCATCTCTCTGGTGAACAGACAAGGATAAGGATATCCCTTATCACTATCATACACAATACTACACTGTAATACAAGGAGGCACATAAAAGGTATTCAAACTGGCAAGGCAGACGAAAATTTCTATTTACAGATATGATTCCACACATCAAGAAAACATTTGGAACTAATAAAAAAATTTCACAAAGTGGCAAGATCCAAGCTCAATATACAAGAATCAGTAGATTGCTCTACATCAACAAAGAGAATTCTGAAAAGGAAGTTGGGAAAACAATATCATTTCTAATGTTGTTATGTGTCGTCGAGTCACTTGCAACTCACAATGTCCCTATGTACAATAGCTCTGAACCCTGCTCTATCCTGAGCCAACCTTACTGTCTCCAACACACTTACCTCCCTTCCTCAGTCACTGAATCAATCCATATCAAGGGTCTTCCCCTCCTGCGCTGGCCTTCCACCCTCCCAAGCATAATTTCCCTCTCCAGGGACTGGTCCCTCCTTAAAACACGTCCAAAGTATGTCAGATGAAGCCTCAGAATTCTTGCCTCCTAAGAGCAGCCTGGTTTCACCCTCTCCAAGATAAACCTGTTTGTTCTCTTAGCAGTCTATGGTATATTTAATACTCTTCTCTAGCACCACAACTCAAAGGCATCAATAATAACCATCACAAAAGATAAAATACTTACAAAAAGGCCAACAATATTTAAAAATAAGCCTAAGCAGAGAAAGTGAAGATTTACACAAAGAAAACTATGAAACATTGCTTTAAGAAATGAAAAGATATACATCATTGAGATATAATACTCATGGACAGGAAGACATAACATATGAAAATGTCAAAGCTACCAAAAAAAAACTATAGATATAATATAATCCCAATACAGATTTTATCAAATCTATAGATTCAGATCCTTTAAGGAGATTAAAGAATCAACTACAAATTTTATATGGAAAGGAAAGAGACTGGTCTCTCTCACACAGCCCATTTCAAGACCTATGATATGGCCACACTAGTCAAAACTACAGCTTGGTGCTGGGATATAATCTACCAGCTGAATCGAAGTCAAAAACAAAGAGAAGCTTGAAGAGCAGCCCTACACAGCCATGCAGAGGCACCACTCAAACATATATTCTGTGTACACTGTGAAATCTGACTGCACGAGCTGGGCAATCTAGAGACTAACAAAGGGCCAAGAGTTGAGTTCTCAAGGTGAAAAGTGACATTTGAGGGGACTGTCAGGCCCCTTTCTAGTCATATGCTGGCTAAGCCTTGCTGCCTATGGCAGACTAACAAATTTAAAAGAAATGTGGCTTATAAATCAATTCCGTAAGCTTTCACTCAAATTACAATAAAACAATTTTTTAAAATTCTGAATGTTTACAAAATACAAAGAACATGGCTTCAAAGTACCTAGAAGGCTTCATGGGATGATGAGAAAAGTGTCATTGTCCTTCCTGGCTTTAGCAGCATAGATTACTTTGAGAGGGGTATGGTTTCAAAAAGGCTGTCTCCCCTACATCCAAAGTCTACCCTAGTTGGAGTTTATATTCACTGAGCAATGAAGTTATGTTAAGTGTGCTGGAATGATAGGGAAAAAAAATAAAGTAGCAAAAATGCTTGTAATGCATGTTACTAAAATGCCCACAGAAATTATTGAGATAAAATAGGTTTATTGCATATATTTTTCACCACAATAATTTTAGGATGTCTCTGTGGCTATTAAAAACAAAACAAAACAAACAAAAAATCAATTATCAAACACACACATAGAGCAAAAGAACAGAACTGAGACTCCAGAAGTAATCTCTGCCATGTATGAGTAGCTGAACTATGGCAAAGGGCCACAAAGTATTAAATAGGGAAAAGACAATCTCTGTGATAAGTGGTGCTAGCAAAACTGCATATCCATTAGCAGAAAAGGAAAACAAGATCTACACCTCACACCATATCAAAAACCGCAAGATAGATCAAAGATCTCAGTATAAAGCCTAAAACTATAAAAAAAAAAAAATCAAAGAGATTTCTCTAGAAAAGAGATCATCAAAGATAAAATAAGGGGAAATTAGGGGCCTTAATATATGGTTGTAAATGGATGATCAATCATAATTGAAAATGCACAAATGCATAAAATAAACTAGAATAGGACCTTCTAAGAGTTAAATTTTAAATGCATCAAGAGAGTAAAAAAAAAAAGTGAAAACTTAACCTAGAGATTGAAAAAAATATTTGGCAACAACATATGAGATTACAGAAAGCTTTAACACCTAAACAAAATGACAAAACATCCAATTTCAAAATGGACAGGGGACACAAAGAAAACATTTAACCAAAAGAGACATTCAAGTGACGAATAAATATTTGAAGAAATGCTCTCGATCATTAGCAATTACAGAGATGCAAATCAGAACAATAATGAGCTATATCCTCTCAAGCTCCCCATCCCCAGCAGTAACATCAAAGTTCAATAAGAGAGAAAACAACAGCTCATAAGGATGTGGTGAGAATGAAACTCTCATATGCTACTACTGATAGAATGGTAAAATGATGAAGCCACTATGCAAAATGGTATGGTGCTTCCTTAATTTTAAGATACCAATGATTATAAGGTGCATCCTGATAGAAACAGCAAAAATTTTAAGTCTACTTTGGAACTGATAAAATATGGTGGTGGTGATGGTGGTTGTTGTTATGTGTCGTCAAATTGCCTGCAACTCATAGTGACCTATGTACAACAGCTCTGAAGCCTGGCCTGTCCTGTTCTGCCAGTCTCACTGACTCTGACACACCTACCCTCAATGCACTAAATGCTGTATCAATCTATCTCTTCCGGGGTCTTCCTGTCCTGGGCTGTCCCTGCACCCTTCTGAACATGGTGTCCTTCTCTAAGGATCAGTTCCTCTTGGCCATATGCCCAAAGTATGTGAGATGGAGCCTCAAAATCCTAGCCTCCAAGGGAAAATTTGGGTTCAACCTCTCCAAGACAGACATATCTGTTTTCTCAGCAGTCCATAGTGTGTTCAAAACTCTTCTCCAATGCCACAACTCAAATGAACAAATATAAAAAGAGTGTCATTTTTATATATGTAAATAGATATCTAAATTCAACACTCATCCTTAATAAGACCCATATGGGTATATTTATCATCTTAAAGAAGAAGCTATCAATTACATTTTAAAAGGTATCTAAAATAGCATTGAACTTTATGGAAAATTTTTTTTTAAAAAGTTAATAACCTTGAGTTGAGAAATACACTCATACTTACATAAAAAAAGCCAATGTGGAAAATACACCACATGTGTGAAAGGCATGGTTCAACTGTTCTGGCTTAGGATACACCACTGCCGCATCAATCATTATCCACCAACCTGTAAAAAACTTGAGAAACAACCCAAATCACTTAGGATGCTAAACTCGTACTCAACACAATACTTGATCTCTAACATGTAATAGTTCTTTTTCTATCACAGAAGTGAAACAAAATACTTCCATCCTGTGTTTGGACACTAAAACAGAAAAATAAGAATCAGCTCTGGTGGCTTAGTGGTACAGAGTACTGACAACCCAACAGAGTTTGAATTCACTAGCAGCTCCATGGGAGGACAGGCAATCACCTCTTGTGCAAGTGCCTCTAAACACCTGCTGGAGGGTCAGCTATGAGTTGGTTCTGACTCAACAGTACCTAACATTTAATTTCATAGCAGATAAGCTTAGTGTGAAGTCCTGCTCTTAATTCAGGATGAAAATTTTACTATTTAGATATGGATCATCTGCTTCTTTCACCTACTCTAAGTACTTTGGGCATGCTGTTAGGAGATGTCAATCCTTATAGAACAACATTATGCTTGGAAAGGGGGAGGGTCATCATAAGAGAGAAAGATGCTCAACAAGATTAATGGATACAGTGACTGTAACAATGGGCTCAAGTATGTAGAAGATGATGAAGATGGCACAGGACAGGGCAAGATTCAGAGCCATTGTTCGCAGGGTTGCTGTGAGCTGTAGACTCAACTGCACATAACAAGTACATACAGTAGAAGCTTCCCTCTTAACTAATCTCCATTTAACCAACTCCGTGATTATTTGATGTGTTTCATTCTCTTTATAAAAAACATTCTGATTGTGCCTACAGTAAGCCAGTGTGCAGATGGCTAGGTTTCTCCTTAATATGCCTAAGCACCTTTGTTCCCACAAATGAAGGAGTTCTACACTTACCAAGAACCAGCTATACAAACCTAAAATTTAAACTTGTTCTAGTTTTTAATAATTAAAATTTAATTAGCTATTATACAAATGACTCAATCACAGCTTGTAAAATTACTGTTTCTATGTAAAATATGTTAAATAGGAGATAACCATAAAAAGAAGGAAAATATACAAACATCTATAAGAAACTGGCATGCAGATTGCTCCACAGCCATCTTTAGTTCTTGCTCTACTTTGTTTCCTACTGGACTTCAGGTACAGAATTACACACTAAAGAAAACAACAACCCTGAGTCCAAGAAATGTAACAGCGTTCCAAGATTAGAGCCTTTAGCAGCCCTGTGAAAATGGAACAGAACACAACTTTTAGCCGAACAGCAGACAGATCTTTAAAGTGGACAATAACATCAGGGAGACACTAACCAGTCAGAACACTCAACCACAGGGGATCACAGGGCAGCATGTGTCCAAGAATAAAACTCAGAAGGTGGGAAGGGAGAAGATGGATACACATAAATAAAATTATATCTAGTTAGTGGGAAGAGTGATGATAAATTGCTAGAATTATAACCAGTGTGTATATATGAATGTTTGAATGGAACACCAATTGGCTTTATGAATTTTAATTTCAAACAAACACAAACACACACACTCGCGCATGCACGTGCGCAGAAGGAAACAACAGTGGTGATGGCTATACAATATTGTGAATGTAATTCATGTCACTGAACATTAAAATAAAAACGGTTAAGATAGTAAATTTTGTTTTATGTATTCACTACGAAACTGTTTTCTTCAAAAAAGCACACTGAATTTTGCTTCAAATAATGCACAGAAGTGGTTCATGGAATAACCACTTAATTTTATAATTAGTCATGATTTGATATTTTATTAAGCTGATAATAAGGGTAAGAAGGAAGGAGGATCTTTATATTCAGTTTTTATTTATATGCTTGATATTTTCAATAATAAGAATATTAATAGAAAAACGATGGGAATTAAAAGACACTTAAGTATCCTCCACACATTTTTCTACTCACTTCCCCACAATGCTACAGTCTGGCAGCAGAGGAAGGTTTTTACTGCTGCCTACGCATCTGTTCCTGGAAGCAGGAGTGGCATTCACTTCCGAAATGGCTTGCCTCCAGAAACTCTATGTACCAACAGAGCTCAGGCTGTTCGTTCATAGGGTCGCTATGAGTCATCTACGACTCGACGGCATCAAACAACAACAACAATGCATCTGTTGGGCTGCTAACCAGAAGGACAGTGGTTTGAATCCACCAGCTATTCCACAAGAGAACTATGGGAATCGACTCAACAGCAGTGGGAGCATATATGACTCCCTGAATTTGAGGTACGACTCCCCGAATTTGAGGTCACACACATCTCAAATTCAGGGAGTCATAATCATTTTTCCTTTCATCTGAAACACTGAGGATCTTAAGGTACTTACACATATAATACTAAGTTAAAATATGCTACTAATAAATTACCATTAAAAAAGGCATAAAAGGTACAAAGTTTAAGAAACTTACAAAATCAAAAGAACTAATGCTAACTGGCTTTAATACTATCTAGAATTCTGATATTTATTTACAAAACAATGAAATAAATCATTCTGGGAGGATCAAAGGAATCAAGATTCAATTCCAGGGCAAAAAAAATGAGGCCTAAATCTCACCGATCAGGTTTTCTCACTTACCAGTATGCCTGCTACTACAGATGCCACTGCATTTCTTCTCTCACTCCAGTCAATACATTCACATTCAGGCCAGCGGAAATTGTCTAGGAAGCCCGCCATTGTTAAACTTCAAACGTTGATTTTTCATTAAATTTTTTCCTAAAGACAAAAAAGATAAAAAATAATGTAAGATCAAGTGTGGCAGTGCTGGTTTGCTCTGTGTCTTTTGAGTCTGAATCAACATATAGCTGATGCAGTGGGTTTTCAGAGGCTGTAAACTGCACGGGAGGAGACTGTTTCTCCAGAGCAACAGCTAGTAAATTCAAATAACTTGCCTTTGGGCTCATAGTACAACTCCTCAGCATTTTAGAGAGGTCCCTGACAGCAGACGTGCCTAATGCAACATCTCCTGATCCTGAGTTCTGGTACCAAAGGTGTTGACTATGGATCCAGATAAGGTGAAATCTTTGAAAGTTTCTTTTCTCCGTCTATCATGCTGCTGCCCATCAGCCCAGTGGTTGGGATTTTGTCTTCTTGATTTTGAGATGTAATCCATATTGAAGGCCATAGTCTTTGATCTTCTGCAAGAAGCATTTCAAGTCCTCTTCACTTTCACCAAAGTTTTGTCATCTGCACAATGCAAGTTGATGAGTCTTTCTCTGATCCTGATGCCACATTCTTCTTTATAGAGTCTAGCTTCTCAAATGATTTTCTCAGCATACAGACTGAATAAGTATAAAGAAAGAATAAAACTCTGATGTACACCTTTCCTGATATTAAAGCATGTAGCAGTGTTCCTTTGATCTGTTTGGACAACAGCTTCTCCATCTAGCTTCTCTCATATGAGCATAATTAAGTGTTCTGGATTCATAATTTTTCACAATGTTAACCATAGTTTGTTATGATCCACACAAGTGCCTTTGCATAGTCAATAAAACACAAAGATATTCTTCTATTGAGTGTATGAGCCATTGAGTGGATTCAAATGATCAACCTTTCGGTGAATACCTGAGAACTTACCTATAAGGAAAAATGTGGAGTTTATATTAAGTTTACTCAAAGAATTTGGTTTCTGCTTAGTTTCTGAAATATAAGCACTAAAAATAACCTTGGAATATAATTGTTATCAGTAAGAACTCCAGAACACACCTCATATGTGAAGTGAAGAGGTGACGCTTGGGTAGGGACTGACCAGGCAAGACCAATCACGTAATATTCATGTTCACCTAATGATAGCAAATAACCTCACAGAAGAAGGGCTGACATTTTCATTATATAATGGGATACCCAATAAAAGATCTGTACACTGATGCTCCATAAGCTTTCTTGTTGGTGAAAAAAAAAGTATAAATCAAGACCAAACCAGTTGCCAGTGAATTGATTCCAACTCATGACAATACGATTTGTGGTATTGTGTTCAGTGAGGTAAAAAATTGTGACCTAAGAGAAGATCATACTTTATACATTCCATTTTTCAATTATTAATGGGTGTTTGCAGTTATTTATTTCTAATGTTGTTTTTAGTGCTTCCTAACCTAAGGGGCTCGGGTACCAGGACTGTATCTAAACAATGTTGCTGCTTTTCACAAGCCTATCGTTTCAGAGGTAAATGGTCAGTTCTGCTTCTTAGTCTGGAAGCTTCTCTGAAATCTGTCACCATAGGTAACTACGCTAGTATTTGAAATATGTCAGTTGTATTTAAAATAAATCTATGACCCAGCAATTTCACCCCTGCTTACCTAAGAGAAGTAAAAACACATGACGGCAAAACATGATAAATACTGTCTTATTCACAATGACCAGAAAGTGAAACAATTAAGAGGAAAACAAATTTTTATCTATTCCTATAGAGGATTGTGTGCTCACCAAGTTGTGCCAAGAAACCTGGAGAACAACCACTTGGCCAACTGACTGGAAGAGATCTATATCTGTTCCCATCCCAAAGAAGGGTGACCCAACTGAGTGTGGAAACTACAGAAGAATACCATTGATTTCACATGCAAGCAAGATTCTACTGAAGATTATCCAAAAACGACTGGAACAGCACATCAGCAGAGAATTGCCAGAAGTCCAGACTGGGTTTAGAAGGGGTCGGGGTACTAGGGATATTGTAGCTGATCTGTGTTTCCTTGATTATGCAAAGGCATTTGACTGTGTGGATCATAACAAACTGTGGCTGACTCTGAGAAGAATGGGAATCCCAGAACATTTAATCGTGCTAATGCAAAACCTATACTTGGACCAAGAGGAAGTCGTCCGAACAGAGCAGGGTAACACTGCATGGTTCAAAATTGGGAAAGGTGTACGCCAGGGATGTGTCCTATCTCCATACCTTTTCAACCTGTATGCAGAGCAGATTATCCGAGAGGCTGGGTTCTATGAGGAGAAGTGTGGCGTCAGGATTGGTGGAAGATCTATCAACAATCTGCATTAAGCAGATGACACAACCCTGCTTGCTAAAACTGAGGAGGACTTCATGCACTTGCTGCAGAGAGTCAAGGACTGCCGCCTTCAGTATGGACTGAGGCTCATTGTCAAGAAGACAAAGATTCTCACCACTGGACCAATTGGTAGCATCAGGATGGATGGCGAAGAGATTGAGATTGTTCACAGCTTCAGTTTGCTCAGCTCCATGGTCAACACTCTTGGCACCAGCAGCTAGGAAATCAAAAAACGTATTGCAATGGGAAAGTCTGCAGTTAGGGACCTCTCTAAAGTACTCAAGAGCAACGGTGTCTCTCTGGAGACTAAGGTGCATCTGATACAGGCCATGGTCTTTGCAATCACTTATTATGCATCAGAGAGTTGGACAATGACTAGGTAGGATAGAAGGAGAATTGATCCCTTTGAGCTATGGTGCTGTAGAAGAGTATTGAATGTACCATGGACTGCCAAGAAAACAAACAGATCCATCCTAGAGAGGGTTAAACCAGGCTACTCCTTGGAGGCAAGGATTCTGGGGCTTCATCTGACATACTTTAGACATGCTGTAAGGAGGGACAGGTCCTTGGAGAGGGACATCATGCTTGAGAGGGTGGAGGGACAGCGCAGGAGGGGAACTGATGAGGTGGATTGATTCAGTGACTGGGGTAATCAGGATGGGTGTGTCAGAGGCAGTGCGATTGGCACAGGATAGAGGAGGGTTTAGGGTTGTTGTACATAGGGTGGCTATGAGTCACAAATGACTCGGCAGCACCTAACAACAACATAGTGGACTGTTGTTATTCAATTCATATCAGACTGAAAAAGATGCTAGAAATTCTCAATTTCTTAACTTTCACTTTGGTGCTTGGTGTGTATATTTGAATAAATGTATGAAAAGGTTTTCCCTGTATGTGTATGGATACCACCCTTGTATGAGGATGGACATTATATCAAAAAGTCAGAACTCCATCCTCCCAATGGGATTTTAGAGGCTATAAACTGCACAGGAGTAGACTACTCATCTTTCTCCCAAGGAGAAGGTAGTGAGCTCAAACAACCTGTCTCTGGTATGGCAGTACAACTCTTTACCATCAAGCCACCAGAGTTCCCACAGGACTCTGGACAACAGAATGTTGTTATGTGCTGTCCAGTCACTTGAGACTCATAGCAACCCTATGTACAACAGCTCTGACTCCTGCTCCGTCTCAAGCCAATTTCATTATCTCCAACACACCTACCCCATTACCCTACTCACTAGATCAATCCATCCCATTGAGGTTTTCCTCTCTTGGCTCTCCACTCTTCTAAGCTTGATGTCCTTCAAGGCTCAGTTGGTCCCTCCTGGCCACATACCCAAAAGTATGTGAGACTGAGCTTCAAATTCCTTGCCTCCATGGTCTCCATGGAGCAGCCTGATTTCACCCTCTCCAGGACAGACCTGTTTGTTATCCTGGCAGTCCACAGTATGGTCAATACTCAATTATCCACCACCACAACTCAAAGGCATTGATTCTTCTTCTACTATCCTTAGTCACTGTCCTGTTCTTTGATGCATACAAAGTTGTTATGAAGACCATGGTCTGGGTCAGGCACACCTTACTCTGTAGGCTAACATCACTGCTCTTCAGTACTCTAGAGAGGTCCTGACAACAGATTTTCCCAATGCAATTCATCTTTTGATTTCCTGTTGCTGGTACGAAGAGTGTTGACTGTGGAGCCAGGAAAGCTGAAATTCTTAGTCATTTCAATCTCTTTGTCTACCATGATGCTGTCAATTGGCCCACTGGTGAGAATCTTTGTCTTCTTGATGTTGAGCTTCAATCCGTATTGAAGGCTGAAGTCCTTCACCTTCTGCAGCAAGTGTCTCAGGTCCTCCTTAAGTTTCAGCAAGCAGGGTTGTGTCATCTGCATAACGCAGGTTGTTGATGAGTCTTCCTCCAATCCTGACGCCACATTCCTCCTCATAATGCATCAGAATGCATCATTGGTGTACACCTTTCCTGATTCTGAACTATGCAATGTTTCCTTGCTCTGTTCTGACAATTGCCTCCTTTAAGTATAGGTTTCACATTAGCACAGTCATGTGTTCTGGGATATAAAAATTAATTAACTGACACATTTAATCATAGAAAAAAGTGTTATTTTAAGTAAAAGAAGTTAAACACAGAAGACTACAAATTATTGCATTTTAATGAAACTAAATCACGGAGAAAACGAATCAATGGTCATAGAAGTCAGTAACTGCATGGCAGGAATTGAAGACTGTCAAATGAAGGGATAAGAGAAATTTCTGAGGTAATGAAGATTTTCTATATTTTGACTGATACTGGCTACACACAAGCATGAATGAATATTTATCAAAATTCATTGGCTTATACACATTTAAGATCTATGTAGTTCATAGTGTGTAAATTTTTCCTACAATTTAAAAATTTTATCATTCAAATATACTTCAGATAAAGTCTAACTATGTATGAAACATGAACATATTTCATTAAAATAATTCTGCAAACATGTTAATGAATCAAAGATTATCATGTTATCAAAGATTAAATATTAACTAGTTAAAAATAAGTATAAGGAAGGTCACCATGACTTTAACATAAGGCAATGACTAAAGGTAATTTTCTATTATTAAGTCTACTTTCAAACAACAATCTCTTATAAACTCATCTATATGCAGAATATATAAAATAAAGTACACACTGATTTTTAATTAAGTCCTCCTTCCTCTC